CATCATCCTCATCATAATCATCCTCATCCTCATCATCATCCTCATCATCTTATCAACCTCATCATCATCATCCTCATCATCCTCATCATCATCATCCTCATCAATCTCATCATCATCATCATCCTCATCATCATCATCCTCATCAACCTCATCATTATCATCATCCTCATCATCATCATCATCCTCATCATCATCCTCATCATCATCATCCTCATCAACATCCTCATCATTATCATCATCCTCCTCCTCCTCATCATCATCATTAGCCTCCTCATCATGAACCTGATCATCATCATCGCCCAAGTGGCTCTCGCTCTCTCTCTCTGTTCACGCGCCCGCTAAGTGAGGGTGGCGGTGGTGGTGGTGATGGTGGTGGAGGGGGTCTCGCGTGTGAATCGCTTTGAAGCGGTCCGGCGGAGGCCGCTCGGATTATGGAGGTGAAGGTCAGGCCACTCCACGTTTGACTGCGGGGCGCCTGCGTCTGTCATCGCCACGCAAATGGACGAATTTACCGTTTCCTTCCTGTTGTGCCGCTTTGTAGAACCACTCTGCAGGCCACTGACAACAGCCAGGGATGAGGCGTCCTCTCGCCCCAAAGCCCCCCTTTTCTCAATCGCCTCGGTCTCCTTCACCCTTGCCAGCCACCCGTGAAGAGCGTGGGGCTCTGGATAACATTTGGTCTGGAGAGCCGCGGAGAGGAAAAGCAGCCGCGCGGTTCGCCCACGAGGAAACGACCCGAATCTAACAGGGGACGAAGGGGGGGGGGGGGGGGCTCGCCTCGTGAGCATCCAAAGCTGGGTTCGCTCCCCAGCGGAGGCGAGAACGTGGAGCTGGAGGTCGAGAATGGGGGGAAGGGCGCCTCTTCGTCACGACGCGCAATCCCAACAGGAACCCCGAACTTGTACTTCACATCGCCCTCATAGCACTGCCGTTGTTTAACACACTCCACGAGCTTTGTTAAACACACTCCACGAGTTTTGTTTAACACACTCCACGAGTTTTGTGTAACACAGTCCACGGGTTTTGTTTAACACAGTCCACGGGTCTTGTTTAACACACTCCACGGGTTTTGTTTAACATAGTGCAAGAGTTTTGTTTAACACACTCCACGAGTTTTGTGTAACACACTCCACGGGTCTTGTTTAACACAGTCGACGGGTTTTGTGTAATACAGTCTTACGGGGGAATCTGACGATAGAGAGAAACCGGTTAATTTGATTGAGGGTGCGTCTTACTTTCCGGGACATCTCACGACCCCAGAGACTACGGTGATTGATGGCTGTGAGTGAGTTGGGGGCGGACGGAGCCGTGGGGGGGGGATCGCTGCGCGGTTTTTATTTTGAGTGAAATCCTCGAGCGAGCAGCAGATGGCGCACGAATCCCGGGGGCGCGCGGAGTCGCGGCGGCGGCGGCGGCGCTGCGCGCAAAAGCGACCACGATATTGGAGGTGCCGACGGGGGTTGATGGATCACAGCAAGATGAACGTCGAACTTCTTTCGCACCGCACGTAGCCAGCCGGGCCAATCGGAGACGCGCGGGGGCGGGTTGTTGCGAGGTTGGCCTGAATGTCGCAGCATCGCAAGTCGGCTCTGTATAAATGAACTTTGTCAGAGTGTAATCCACCACCCCCACCCCGAGTTTCCCTCACACACGTTGGCAAACCACTCGTCACACTATATTATTAAAAAAAGTTTTGCTGGCTGCCTGCCTGGCTGTGCAAAGGGACGGACGGTTACGTCCTAAGGACATGCGCGTTGCTGGATAATGGAGGAGGGACTGTCCTCCTATAGAGCGAGTCTTGAGTGCGTATTTCCTCTCTGTAAGTGACATCATCATCATCATTATCCCTGAGTTCGTGGCAATTAAAGAGGCGTGCGGTTTTTTTGTAACGACCTTGGAACAAACTTGAACCGAAGGAGTCGCATCAATGTTGAAACCCTCATCTGTATGTGTGTATGTGTGTTGAAATTCTTTCGCACCGTACGTAGCCAGCCGTACTAAACGGAGGTGCGGGGGGGGGGGACGGACAACAGACGTTCTAGCGGATACGCGTCGCGTTCCGTGGCTGCCACTCAGGGTCTGAGATGATGAGTCTGGTCAACAACAACAACAACAAAATGTAGCAGGCGCAATATTAAAACAAGGAAATGACAAATGAAACGTGATCACCTCTGCGCGGTGTAAAACCACAGACACACTCGTGCGCGTTATTCATAGGACATGACTCATCCAGCCTCGTGTCAGCCACGACGCTCATCACGCTGGCAGTCACCGGCTCGTCGTTCGGGTTGAGTTCACCGCAACTCAGGTGGAGCGGTCTCGATGGAATGGGTCAATTGGAGATGAACCTTGTATCGAACTCATCACGAGGCAAATATTGACATCATTATCATCATCAGAAGCTATGGTCAATCCACTAATGGATGAAGGCCTCCCCCTCCCACCCCCAACACCGCTTCCGATCCTGCGATCCCAATCGCTCCATCTCCCCGGTTAACGTACTCATATCGACGAGTTGATTGAAAACTCAACCGTCTCGGAGTAACTACAGAATTGTTTGCTCAGCCAAGAACTGGAAGTGTCCCTATGTCTCGAGCGGCGCGCGCGGCATGGACGAACAGCGCTCATCTTCTGAGCTGGTTTGTGGTAATTCCACGTCACCATGACGAGTGCCAGCACCGCTATACGGCAGCAATTCCACCACTCTTGTAATAACTCAACCACAGTGCGCGCATACTTGTCCACCACAAGCATGCGCGCAGTGGCGTCATCGTTCACGGATCAAGGCTGCAATATTTCCGTTGTCAATTCGACCGCGTGGTTGTAATATTTGTTTTTAAAGGCTTTGCGGGATGGCGGCCGGTGGTAATGGAAGAATAATAACGACGGAATGTGCAACCACAAGAAATGGGGAGGCCCAACGAGCGGACCGAGGCGATGAGTTCATCCCGATTAGCGCGGTTGGCTACGTACGGTGCGAAAGAAGTTCAGCGCACGTACGTACACAGAGCATGTGATTTGGTTGACTCTCGCAGGACAGGAGCTCAAGGAGATGGCGGAAACTTGGGGATGCCCTTCGTCCAGCAGTGGATTGACCCTGGCTAAATGGCGATGATGGCGATGACGAGGATTGAAAGACCTACCGTGCCGCGCGCGCCACGTGGCAGGACACTTAGCGCGCGTGAAGGGTTGAGACGCGGGTGTTGGTTGGCAGGTGGAGACAAGTGTCTCTCTTCCGTGTGCCCGATTAGTGCGCACGAGGTTGGTGACAGTGACGGGCAAACTACGCAGCAGGGAGTCGCGAGGGGGGGGGGGCACGAAGCCGAGAGAGAGAGAGAGAGTCGCGTGGCTGCGCTGTGCGAAACGAAGTCGCGGGCCGAAGGCTCGTCCAGACGTGGGCTCTGCTGCAGAGAGAGAGACAAAGGGGGAGAGAGAGCCGTGACGAGGAAGGACTGCATCTGCTTCGATAGAAGCGAGTTCGTGGTGTTGGCCGCAGGTTCCGTGGCGCCACAGTTCACAATCGCCATCTGCGTTTCATCCTGGAGGAATCCGATGAGCCGTGAAGCTCTTTGTCGCAGACGGCCACGTCCACGAGAGCGGTGGTCTGGGCTCGGGGTTCAGAATGTCCCCGTCGGAAGCGGTGGCCCCCCTAGAGCATGCGCTGGGGTCGCGATCCGGGGTTCAGCCGCACTCTGATCGGATGCACAAATAAAACAACGGCGATGCAAATCGACGGTGCCCTTGGCCGATCGCAGCGGAGCATTTCTAGCGGAGAGAATTTGAACGTTTCGGGTTGTTTGGCTTTCGATGAAGACCACTCCCTGTTGGTCCACACACACACAGAGAGAGAGAGAGAGGTTGCCCAGCGCCCGGTGTGGGATGAAGAGGCGAATGGGAGCGATTATCAAGGAGTTACGCGACGTTTCTGCCCGGGCACAATGTGATGCACTGCTCACTGGAGATTCAGAGTGACCAAGATGCGATTTGTCGCGTGATAACACGACGCCGAAAGAAGGCGACTTATAAAACGTACTCCGACTGTGCAACAATAATCACCTCTCTCCATCAATAGCGTAGCTACCCTCCGTAAAGCATATTATAGACTGTAGGGGGCTTGGGGCAAGTGTTGTACTGTTAGCGAGCACCGATTATGGCTCCCAGGCGCTGATTATTGTAACGGATCGTACCAGCTACTAATTTTAAGGCTGAGTTGACCTAAGAGAGGCAATGTCTCATGACCACAATCACCCCCCACCACCCCCACCGTTTAGCCTCCTCACAGTCTCCCTCCGCTCGCACTCACTACACTCACCACACTCCCTTCTCATCTACCTATGCTCACCACTTCCCCACCTCCTGACCACGCACCCTCTTCTCCTCACCACGCACCCTCTTCTCCTCACCACGTCTCCTCCTCTCCTCACCACCAGGGTTTCTGTCTACAGGAGCGGTCGACACCAGTGGTCATTATCTGAACCGGTCATGGGACTCCTCTAGGTCGACTCAGCCTCAAATGAGTACCCGGTGCGGTGTGCAGTAAATATCGCCACTGGAGAGACAAAGGCGGTCGGGCGTGGTGCTGGCCACCCACCCCCTCGTGTGCCACAGTTGCCGGCCTCCATCATCGCTACTCGCTAACAGCACTTGCCCCTACAGTCTGTTGAGGCTACACGGGGGGATCTTTGCCTTTGGTGGTGTGGGGGTAGTGGTTGGCAGTGACTGGCGGTGAGGAGGGTTAAGAAGGTGGGGGGGAGTAGGTGGAGGGGTGGGGGGAGCTCCGCTAGGTAGCGAAGGGGTTGCGAGTGAAGGGGGAGGAGAGTGAGAGGAGGAGGAGGAGGTGGGTGGGGGGAGGGAGGGAGGGAGGGAGGTGGGTGGGGGGAGGGAGGGAGGGAGGTGAGGGCTGGCTGGGAGAGTCGTGGGTGGGTGGTGGCTGAGATGACTTGGTGTGGCGCTGGGAGGAGTGAGAGGAGGAGGAGGCGGCTGCGTTACACGCGGTGCGAGCTGCGTGCGAAGCGCACACGAGACCCGGAGCGGCGTCCTGGAGCCCAATCCACCCCCAGCACCCCACCCCCCCGGCACCTCGCTCCGACTGACAACCAAGACTACGGACCATCCGTTCCCCTCGGCTCGCTGTGGGACCCGCGTGGGACCCCCCTCTCGTATCCCCTCGACCTCTCCCGGCTCCCACCCGCCGCCCCCTCGACGTGTGTGGCTTCATTCAGTGCGGAGATCTTGAGACAGAGAGAGAGAGGCCGGTCCCAGCTTCCCGTGCCTCCGCTTGGCGCTGCTGCTGCGTTTGTTGCTGTTCCTGCTGGAATATCGAGTTGCATGGACGGTGGCGCGGGCTGGCGGCGTGCGTGGGGTGGAGCTGTGTGAAGGAGAGAATCCGAGGCCAAGGTAGTTAGAGTCGAGAGACAGAGAGAGGAGGAGTGGACCCCGCGGACTCGCCACTGCCGAGGGCTTGAAACTCTCGCGCCGTCTGCGCGACACCGCAGCCTCACTCCACCACCTCCTCGTCCTCCTCGTCGTCAGCAACCTCATCGTCAGTCGGACATCCTCCCCCTGCCACAGCCGACGGACCACGCGCGCTTCCTGTGCCCGACCACCTGTTGGACTCTGCACGCCGCCCAGGTGCCGCCACCGTCGGAATTCCGTCGGTGTGCGACACGGGGAGGAGGCTCTCGGCTCTCCAGCCCCGCGCCCCACGAAGCTTCAGCGGCGAAGAGAGAGGGAGAGAGGGCTCCGTTGGCCGTAGTTCAGTTGCCGCCGGTGGGAGCTGCTGTTGTTGTTGTTGCTGCTGGTGGTGGTTGGTGGTGGTGATGGCGGAAAGGATGCGGTGTGGATGTACGAGCCGGCACCTCCTGCTACTCGCCTTCCTCCTCTTCTCGTCGGCGTGGTCCTCCTCCTCCTCCTCGTCGTCGTCGAGCGGAGGCGCCCACGCCTGCCCCAGTGTGTGCAGCTGCGCCGGCACCACCGTGGACTGCCACGGCCTGGGGCTGCGCGTCGTGCCCAAGGGGATACCCAGGAACGCCGAGCGACTGTGAGTGTCAACCCCCCCCCCCCCTTGTTATCATCACCCCGCCACCTCCCGACCCCCTTTGTATCCCCGTGGCAGTCTGTGACTTTGGCGAAGTTGATTTGCCGCGCCCCACCTTTGCCCCGCCACGCTTACCAATCTTCTGTTTGCTACGTCGAAGTTGAAAGTGGCGACTCCGCTGCACGCGTACCGGTGATTGGTAAACAGGTCCCCGGCTCGGCGGCGTAGATTAGAAGCGAAACGTTAGAGACATCTGCCGGTCTGTACGTGTGGCTCACTTCACCGGAGGAGGAGAGCTCCGATTCAAATTACGATTGTGGGTTACGATTGTGGTCGTGGCGGCTAACGCACTGCGCCACCATGAACATTGTGAATGTATGGGTCGGTTCTGGTCTTCACGGAGGTCGACTCAGTCTCAAATGGGCACCTGGTGCGGTGTGTACAACCTCACCACTGGGGAGACAAAGGCGGCCGGGCGTGGTGCTAGCCACCCACAATCTAGTGTGCCGCTTTAATCTTATTAGGTGTTACTCGCTTACAGCACTTGCCCCAAGTCTGTTAAGGATATAGGGGGATCTCTGTCTTTGCGTACATGTGTGTTCCACAACAACGAGCGGAGCGCCGGGCGGATAAAACGCAGCAATTTGGCAGAATGGGGAGCACAGGTGGTGCATCTGCCAGTTATCTGAGTCGGTAAACCCACGGCACCTGGGTCTGTCCCGTAGCCTCCTTGCCCACAGCTAGCCTTCGACACTTCACGTGGCAACTAAAAGTGCACCTAGCCTGGCACAAGCTCCGTGGTGACGTCACTGCCACGTCGGGACCGAATGGGGGCTGTTGTCGATGGTGTTGCACGTGTCACAGACAGCGATTGGCTATTAACCAATTACTAAATCATCAACCGCACGCAGCGCATAACCGCCTAAATATGTAATTAAACAATCATCATAAATTTTGTGTTTTAAAAAAAAACATTATAACCGCCTCATTCGTGCAAACTGCAACTCTCAACGCCGAACGGAGAAGATGGGGTGTGATCCACACCACGAACACCGCAAAACAACACCATCATCTGACGAATCGCCCACGACCTGCACGGCACCTCTTCACCCCTGGTCGTGTTAGCACGGCGACGTTTGCTCGACGTGGACAACGCGGGACCCCGCGAGTGGCGGCACGTGGGGGCTGCAGTTTGGGAAATTCTGCGCGAACCCAAACACGACGCCCTGAATCTGGATCGAACCCTCGGCGTTGTTACTCATTGGTATTGACAACTCAGGCTACGCCCCCCCCTACCCATCACATTCTCTACCCCCCTCCCCCCTTTTTTATCACCACATCATCTCTATTCCTTTAGTTTCATCCCGCGGGCGGTTATAGGATTTGTAACAGGTGACAGTGAACGTGGGGGTGTGGAGCGGTGGCACAGCGGTTAGCGCACTACGCGTTCTGAATCCGGCTAATTGAGTTCCATTCCTGGGCGGCGCTGGCGTGAGTGTCGAGTTCTTTTTGGGCACCCCACCCTCCTTTACCGATAGGCAATGATTAGCGTGGTGAAGTATGGTTAATAACCCCCCTCCCTCCCTTCCCACGATCCCCACGGCGTGGGTAAGCCCTCATCCAGCAGTGGATTATTGACACATGGGTTGTACATGTATACCGTGTGTGTCGATGATCCCCGCCGGTAGATGCTGGGTAACTTCGGTCTTAAGTTTGAACGACACTGAGTATTCCACTTGCAAGTATTAGACCGTGGGTGTAGTGCTCAGGATTTGAGATTGATTATTCCCGCTGAGTCTTGGCCATGGTGTATGTTTGTTCATATGGGAACGTACGTGGCGTTGTTACAATTTAATGAGGACAGTCGGGAATGGCGGAGACTTAGGGAAACCTTCATCCAGCGATGGATTGATCATTGCTGGTGTTGCTGAAGATGATGATGATGGAGAATATCAGTTGAATGCGTCAATGATCAGTTGAAGTAGATTACAAGCGTGTCGGACTGATTCCACTACCCATGTCAAAATCATATTCCTCCAATAAATAGTTCCGATACAGCGTGGTGAAGTATGGTCAAAAACTCCCCCCCCCCCCCCATGACAGACACGGTGTGAAAAGACCTCAATCCAGCGTTAGATTAGCAGCAGCACAGTATTGATAATGAATGATGATAGGGGTTACAGGTGGCTGGAAATAATCTCTGATTGTTGTGCAAACAGCGTTTTAAGATAGCGGCAATTGCGACTGCCGTGGAGGTGTTTTACTCCAACAGCGGCGACGACCTTTAGTTACCTCGGAAGGCTTTACTGAGTCTCAAGGCTCGTTTGCAGGTGGATGTTGCGACACTGTGAATGTGTTGGTCAATTCTACTCATCAAGAGAGTTTGGCATCGTGCGTGTCGGAGAGAATCTGAGTGAACCTCAGCAACTCACACTATGCGCCCACACACTCCGCGCGCTCAGCACCGATCGATTCAAGAATCCATCGCTCCTGCCGGAATGCCCTGGTGGCCAAGCAGACCGGGCCGCTCGATATTTCTCTCTCTCGACACTACACCTGATGGTTCTCAGGCAGGTTCCAGTCCAAGTGCTAATCAGACCCCAAATCAGACCCAAAATCAGACCTCAAATGAGACTCCAAATCAGACTTCGAATCAGACCCCAGATCAGACCCCAAATCAGACTCCGAATCAGACCCCAAATCAGACCCCAAATCAGACCCCAAATCAGACCCCAAATCAGACCCCAAATCAGACCCCGAAACAGACCCCGAATCAGACCGCGAATCAGACCCCGAATCAGACTCATAAATCAGACTCTAAATTAGACTCCGAATCGCTGCTTAGCTTTCGAGAAGGGGCGCATTGGACGCGATTCTGCTGGCAGTCATTGTACTTGCAGACATACGTGCGCACAGACAGATTAATTGGTAGCGCCTGTATCCGCCCAGGTACAATCATCATCACCACGCAACGTATTTATACAGAAAAAAATCTCGGCGTTTTGAAATGTTTTAATTATTGATTATCATTCAGCATCATCACCACCATTATTGTTGATCCGTGGTCTTATCCACTGCTGGATGAAGGCCTCCACAACGCCGTAGCCACCCCCTCGCGAATCCAGACGCGATGGTTTGAGGTCGTAATTTAAATGAACAGAGGAGAGCGATACACGGAGAGAGAGATAGACGAGGGGGTACGTGCGTGGTTAGTGGTGGTGGGGGGGTACGTGGTATGTGTGCAAGTATCCATTCATCACACGAGCCACACGTGCACACAATGGTGATAACGATGACAACATACGCACGGTGATGGTGATGAATTACGATGACGATGATGATGGTGGTGGTGGCGGCGACTTCCTCGTTCACTACGCATCTGTGCGGCATCACTCAGCCCACGTAACTCCCCCCACGCCCCGGTCTTGTTTACGGAAGATGTCATAGTGTTGTCATCCGTTTGTCCTTGTTTTATGAGCGTGGTGTGCGTGGTGTGCGCATGTACGTACGGGGAGCGGTGGCGCAGCGGTTAGCGCGCTGCGCTACGGAACCCGGCCAGTGACGAGGATATGTTACCGCTCTTGGGTTCCTCCACGAGTTCGACTCGGCCAGCCCTCAAATTGAGTGGGATGCCAAACACATCGCCACGAGGGAGACAAAGGCGGCCGTGCGTGGTGTTGGTCACTCGCCACCTCGTGCGCTGTGTGCGCAATTTGGTAGGTGCTCGCTCAGAGCACTTTCCCCAACAGTCCGGCAAAGGTTGTAGGGGGGATCTGTGAAGGTCACCCCCTACAGCCTTGCCAGCCTGTGGAGGGCAAGCGCTGCTAGCGAGAGCCATCGACGCCGCTGCTGCTGCTGATGATGATGCTGCTTTAGACCCCTCCCAGGTACCTATTTAAGGTTGAGTCGACCTAGGAGTAGGCAAGTGCTTAACGCCACCACCACCACCGCCACCGTCATGCGCTTCTCAGTCTCTCGTAATCTCTCCGAACACACAATGCGCAACACCGACCGCTTCGGCTGCTGATTGAAGGCTGAGTTGATCTAGGGGAAGCCCGGTTCAGATGACCCTCTTAGCCGTGTCGACTGTTGGTGCTGTTAGCAAGCACCCGGCGAAAGAGAGCGACGTATGGCGAACTCCACGCCCGGCCGCCTTTGTCTCCCCAGTTCTTTATGTCCACACACACACACCGCAGCAGATACTCATTTAAGGCCGAGTGGACCTGGGGGAGGGCCCAGCGCGGGTTCAGATTCCGCTCCGCCACGCGATGTGATCCGTGGCCTGCAATCGAACCGCGCGGGTTAGTTGCGTAAGAAACAAAGATCCCCCGTGTCGCCTTAACCGACTGTTGGGGCAAGTGCTCTGAGCGAGTAGCAATTATGAAGGCCTGCCCACGGCGCACGCGGGTGGTCCGGTGGCCAGCACCACGCCCGGCCGCCTTTGTCTCCCTCGTGGCGATGTTTACACGTGGGCAGCGGGTACATAATTTGAGGCCGAGTCGACCTAGGGGAAGCCCAGGACCGGGTTCAGATAATCGTCACGGGGTGTTGGTGGCCGTGGGCGGCGGGGGGAATGGGTTCGTAGCCGCGGCGCGCTCACCGCTCGGCTACCCACAGCACAATTGTCTAAACAGATAGCGCGCTCAGACAAGCCCTGCCTGTGTAATATATGTGCAGAGCAGTGCAGTGTCTCAACATTCGTTCACATCAAAGCATTCTCTTGTGGGGGGCTCAGTTAGGGGGCCGCGGGGGTGGGGGGGGGATGGTGGCCCTAACTTTGAACCCTCGTTTCAGTCTTCTGAGACTCGATTGAAGACGCCGAAACGAGACGGACGGCCGTGATTTGTAGTAAACGCGAAGATCGCGGGTTTCCACCAAAATTGTTGCCTTGTATAGACTGCCTTGTATAGACTGCCTTGTATAGACTGCCTTGTATAGACTGCCTTGTATAGACTGCCTTGTATAGACTGCCTTGTATAGACTGCCTTGTATAGACTGCCTTGTATAGACTGCCTTATATAGACTGCCTTGTATAGACTGCCTTGTATAGACTGCCTTGTATAGACTGCCTTGTATAGACTGCCTTGTATAGACTGCCTTGTATAGACTGCCTTGTATAGACTGCCTTATATAGACTGCCTTATATAGACTGCCTTATATAGACTGCCTTGTATAGACTGCCTTGTATAGACTGCCGTGTATAGACTGCCTTATATAGACTGCCTTGTATAGACTGTCTTCTATAGACGGCCTTGTATAGACTGCCAGTTGCTGTGAGCGGAGTTTGCGAGCGGTAGGCGTAAACAGAACGTTGTCCCGGGCCTCCCCTAGGTCTACTCAGCCTAAAACGAGTAGCCGGCGAGATATACGTGTAGAGGCTAGCTTTGGGGAGACAAAGGCAGCCCCGGACCGCGCCCGCTGCTGGAGGATGTCACCCACTTTCGTGAGCCGTGGTGGCTTCAATCGGTCGGTCATTGCGAATAGCACTTTCCCCAACAGTCTATACAGGCTACACGGGTGATCTTTGTCTTTGTTTGTATTTGCAGGGAGCGGTAGTGCAGCGGTTAGCGCGCTGCGCTACGACCCAGGCCAACATGAGTGACGATTATCTGAACCGGTCCTGGGCCTCCCCTAGGTCGACTTCAGCCTCGACTGAGTATTGAGTGCGGTGTGTAAACATCGTCACTGGAGAGACAAAGGCGGCCGGGCGTGATGCTGGCCACCCACTATCTCGTGTGCCGTGCCGGCCTTCATAGGTGCTCGTTAACAGCACTTGCCCCAACAGTCGGTTTAGGCTATACGGGGGATCTTTGTGTTTGTCTTGTATCTCCGTGTGTGTCTTTGTATGTTTGGTGTCAGTGCGTGTGTCGCTCCGCGTGTCCGCATCGCTCACACGTGCATGCCAAAGACACAGGTCCCCCATGTAGCCTTAACACATCGTTGGGGCAAGTGCTGTTCGCGATCACCTACACCCATTGTTGACCTTGGTGACATGGCAGAGCAGTAACAAGACTAAAATCACATCACATCGCCTATGCTGAATGGACAACATGCACATTGGTCCGAGTCATAGCAACACACACATGTAATTTGGAGCTCTGCAGAAGGGCCATTGCGCGAAACGTCATTTTACATACACATAAAAACAAAATTCTACGTGTTGCATAGGCAGTGAATGATGAATGCGGATAAGTGGGTTTTTAATTCGGGTTTGTGTGCGACTTCAAATGTTTGTGTTTGATGAGATGTGTTAAATAATTGCCTGCCCACTTACCCCTCCCCCCTTATAGTGTGGTCGTGTTCCCAGCGGGTGGGGGGGGGGTGTTGTGGGGTGGGGGGGTGGGGGGGTGGGGCTCAGCGAGGGGGTCGCCTCGACTCCCCCGAGGCACCGAGACCCCCCCCCCTAACAGTGGCACCGATGCAAAGACAAAGGTTCCCCGTATAGCCTTAGCAGACTGTCGGGGGGGAGGCAAGAGCTGTTAGCGAGCATTAGCACCTATGAAGGCCGGCACTTGCGTGCGAGCGAGTGTTGTGGTGAACACCACTGCCCGGTCCGCCTTTGTCTCCCCAGTGCTGATGTTTCCACACCGCACTAAATACTCGGTTGAAGGCTGAGTTAACCTAGGGGAAGCCCAGAACATTCGCCGGGCATGTGAAGTCCCTGGCTGGAGGTTCGTAGCAGAGTGTAAAGCGGCATGTGTATCGATCTGCTTGTATCGATCTGCTTGTATCGATCTGCGTGGACGTATCTGCACGTATCTGTGTGCGTATCTGTGTGAGCTAACAGCACCTGGCCCAACAGTCTGTTAAGGCTCTCGGGAGGATGTTTGTCTTTGTATGTGTGTGTGTCCGTATCTGTGCGTGTATGTTTATGGGTGTATATGTGAATGTCTATGTGAACATACGGATGTGTGTGTGTATATAATTATGGGTATTGGGAGCAGTGGCGCAATAGTTGGCACACTGCGCTGTGAACCCGGCGACCTGCAGTTCGATTCCCGGCCACGGATAACATCGGTGGCGAGTTGATATCTGAACCGGTCCCTTCTCTAGGTCGACTCAGCCTTCAATGAGTACAACGCGCAGTGTGCAAGCGTACGTCCACGTCAGCGCTTGCCCCGATAGACTGCAAGAACGAACGGGGGATCTTCGTTGTCACGAACACACGTTACCCACGTGGAATTCCCTCCGCAGTGCCGTTGCTTCTCTCCTTCAGGGGGAGAGATTTCTATTTGCTGTTTCACAGTCTTGGAACATCAGACCCCCATGGTGGAAACGTGATTCAAAATCTTAAATCACGTGACACAATTTCACCACGAAAGGTCACGCCCCCCTCTCTCATCTCGCCAGTTTCTCGGAAGCTAAGCAGGGGTTGAGCCTGGACATCGCCTGGACGGGTGACCGCCGCGTGTCAAACCGGTTGTCACGTGGTTGGAGAGTAGTAGCAGACAGTAGATGGCAGCAGGACGTATTCGGATATATGCGAAAAAGTGCTTCATAGCTCATCGGATTCCTCCAGGATTCCAAATAAACATTTTCCTGAGATATCATTCGCCACTGACGCATCAGCCGTAGCTGGGGAATCGATCTCTGGTCATCGTGGGGTTCACTGCGCGACGTGCTAACCACTGCGCCACCACTCCCCCGCCCGCAGCCCCCCGCCCCCAAGTGGATATGGATTTGTTTTAATGTTTTAAGGCAGAGTGAATGGCGGAGTGGGTGAGAGTTCTCTTAGTTGTGCTCGTACAATCGTTTTTTAGGGCGATTTTCTTTTTTACCTTTCCTCTACTTTGCACTCTTCTCGTGTTTGTTGTACTGTTTGTTGTTGTAATGTGATGACCCGTCCCGACTGGACATCTGTGATGAAGAGCTTCATAGCTCATCGGAGTCCTCCAGTGTAAATAAACATTCTGCTTCTGACAACACAGCAAGGCACTCGCTGCAAGGGACACCATTAGTCCGCGAGTCCGGAATACTAATTAAACAGATTTCACTTAACGGTACCAACCGAGGTGGCATCACTCCAGTCTCTGATGGCGGTCTCTGAGTGTGGCTCACAACGGTGAGTGAAGTGATAAGCGTTTGAAACGAGTCAATCATTCACTCGAATTTTGCCATTTTAAAGAATAACAATAATAAGATCGATACGACTCAAGATGGTGCTGCTCTACCTTAGGTGGTCCCTACATCTGGCCTGGCCCCTCGACTAATCCCGGGCCCGTGGATTCATCCGTCGATTTCTCGCTGCGTTTAAACAAGCAACCGTGATTCGACGATTGTTTATTACAACAAAAAACTTAATCGGTGTTGTTGATGTATTTTTGTTGCAGCGATTTGAACGCGAACAACATCACGAGGCTTGGCAAGACGGACTTCGCGGGTTTAAGGAACCTCCGTGTTTTGTAAGGGCACGCTCTACGCTCACTCACTCGCTCGCTCACTCACTCACTCACTCGCGTGACTCGCTCACTCACTCATGCGATTAGCTACTCACTCATGCAATTAGCTACTCGCCGACTCACTAATCACCCGTTCATGCGACCCGCTCCTCACTCACGTAATTCGCTCGCTCACTCACCCATCCACTCATGCGACTAGTCATCGATCCCATGTCTGTCCTCGATCTGTCCTTCTGATATAGACATACCACCATTGCCCCCGACTCTAAAGTTTGGCAGCAGACCACTGAAACGAGAGGCTCGATGCTCAGTGATCCTCTCCTAGGGTAGACAAACGTAACCGTGATAATAACTTAGGAGAGACAGAGTTTTTTTTTTGTAATATAAATCTCGGGTCCTCGCGACCTGCACCGCCGCGTGGAGCTCAGCGCGCTAATGTACTTACGTATGTTGAACTTCTTTTGCACAGTACGTAGCCGACCGCGCTGATCGATCTAGCAAACTCACGTAGAGTCGCTCGCGCACTGCGCGCGTTGACCGTGGCGACACAAAGCACCCCCCCCGCCTCCCACGTGTGTTTGCGCCGTCCCCAGCATCTCTCGCCGTTGACCCGCCGCTCCGGGTGTCGACCCCCCCCCTCCCTCCCCGTCGCAGGCACCTGATGGAGAATCAAATCACGACCATCGAGAGGGGCTCATTCAACGACCTGAAGGAGCTGGACAGACTGTGAGTAGCAGAGGCCCTACACGCATCCCCGTTACTCCACCACCCAGACACACAGATGGCCTTTAGCCAATACGTATGTACCGTGGGGGTGGACCGTGGGGGTCGATGGGTCACGCTTTACTGTGCGGGCCCAGCACGGGTCGGGGAAGCTGGGGGGAGCCACGAACGGTTGCCGCTGATGTTAGCCGTGGCTGAGAATCGAACTCATGTCTGCCTGGTTCGTAGTTTGCTGTGGGGCAAATCAAACCACTGCAGCGACGCTGCCCTCCCCCCCATCAGTTTGGCGTGAGCGAGCGGGTGCATGCGTGTGTGCGTGCGTGTGTGCATGCGTGTGCATGCATGATTGCATGCGTGCGTGTGTGCATGCGTGCTTCCGTACGTGCGTGTGTGCGTGCGCGGACGGAGGTTGATGAGAGGGTGAGTAGGTTGTGAATGTGGGGGGAGTGAGGCAGGCCGATGAGTGACAGCACAAGAGACGATGACACTGGGTGGGAAAGGGTCCGGGCCGGGTTCACTCTGCCCATTATTTCTCAGGGTCAGTGAAACGAGTAACACTTTGTTGGGGAAGTCAACAGTGGTTGTCACGTGGATAGACTTGACTCCGCCATATGGACGTGGAATTTCCACCACTGGCAGACTAACTCGGGGCTGTGAAAGAGGAGGAGAGCTCTACCCCAATGGTCAGTTGAGCATTGCGAGCGGCAGTCACAGCTCAGACCCAATGCAGGCCGACGGGAGGAGCAGTGCAGGCAGACAAGATGAGACCTGGGCTCTTAAAATACCACAGGTCAGTCCTGCAGAGCATTCTCCAATTAACCCAGTAATGCAATTAAATAACACAATACAGCATAATTGGTTCATTTGCTTAACATTTTGATTTTGCTCCCAAACTCCATCCTCTCCTTTAAGTCACCACCGCACTCTGCAGCGTTCCCAACTTCTGCCCCGTTGAATTCGGAGCCCCCCCCCGCTCCCCATTACCGCCCCCCCGGCCCCTCCCCCCACCACCAATCAAATGTAAATGAGGACAACATTAGCAGACTTCCCTGGAGAGGCAGGTCACGACGACCTTGGCTGTGCGCTGTCGGCTGGTGCCTTCAAGGGGACGGGGGAACACTGGGACGCACGCTGTCTCTCTGTCCCATTGCAATTTGTCTGCCAGCACCGTGTTTGCTTGAGCTTGCGTGTGTTGCGCAGAGAATGGATACGTTCGAGGGGGGGCCGGGGGGGAGGAAAGCCACGCGTTTACGGCTGGACAGAAAGAGCAGAGTTAGGAAAAAGTGATCGGCCTCGTAAATAATGTGATCTCTACAACGAGGGCCAAATTATTTAAAACACGAATCATCGCGTAGGTGTAATGTAAACCCGAAACCTCAGTTACAAGTTATATAGAATGGCAAGATCTGTAAACATGTCATGCACAGGAACATTCGGGTAATATTAACGCGGGCCGCGTTATACAAGACGGCAATACCTGTAAATGCATAATGCAACATGTGGCTCAGTTTAAACGAGGCACAATTTGAGAGAAAAAAGGAGTAATTTGAGAGAACTTGGCCTTTCCTCTTGAATCGCTACAGAGATAGCAACAACCTTTAAGCCTGGACTCCAACTCAGGGTGCCGGCTCCCCATGTGTGAGTGTTAGTGAGGGGAGTGGTAGTGCAGTGGTTAACGCACTGCGCCAAACACCCAACGACCCGAGTTCGATTCCCGCTCACGGCCACCAACGCCAGCGACGAGTATCTGAACCGGTCCTGGGCCTCCACTCGGTCGGCTCGGCCTTAAACAAGTACCTGGTGCGGTGTGTAAACATCGCCACTGGGGAGACAAAGGCGGCCGGACGTTGCTACTTCCCACGCACCCCCTCGTGTGCCGTGCCGGCTTTCAAAGATGCTGCTCGCTATCAGCACTTGCCCCTACAGTCTGTTGAGGCTATACGGGAAATCAATGGTCTTTAGCCACTTGAGAGACGCCCCTGAAGACGCCAATTGTCTTGCGACGGCAACTGGCCCTGGCTGTACAGCCCTGAAGGCCCAGTCGCAATGGTGAATCGAAGCCGGCGTTATGACGATCCCGACCTTCGGCCGCGACGAACACGCCGACGCTCGCGCGGGATCGGCGCGCCGACGAGAGCCGCGGCGTGCGGCGAGCACCACCGCCGTCGTTACCGCGTTCTACCCCCTCCCTCCTCCGCCGCACCTCCGATTGGCTACGTAGGGTGGTGCGAAAGAAGTTCAACGCACACAGCTCAACGCGGCTCGCCGAGCAGCAGCGAGAGTTTGACGGTAGGGGAAGGCATCTGTGGGGTCTTCCTCAACACCAGCACCCCCCACCCCACCCCAGGACGGCACCGCGATGATGGTGTGTGCTCAGCGCGTGTTCGCGAGCTGACAACGTCAGCGGCCGTGGAATGCAAAACTTTCGCGAAATGAAGAGGGGGGGTGGGGGGGGGGGGATAAGGAGGGGGTGAAAGGAAGACAGAATCCCTGCACCTCCTTCATTCATTTTCTCTCAAACGGAGAGAAAAATCAATTTCCTTTCCAGACCTCCCTCTCTAAACATTTCAACATTCTCTCGCTTGTTCCTGCGGCTGTCGGGAGTCCACAGGTCACGTCGCGTCTTGCGCGGCCTCGCTTATTAAACACCGAATGACCTCCTCCTCCTCCTCCCTTCACAGACGCCCCTCGCTCTCCCTGCACCCCCCCCCCCTCTCTCTCTCTCGTGTCTACACCGACTTCGCATCCCTCTCCTCCCTCTCCCCGGCTCTCCTTTTCTTCCCTCTCTGTTCACTCTCTCTCTCCTCTCTCTTGCCTCTCCCTCTCGCCTCTGTTGCTCCCTCAATAATCTCTCTCCTCCCTCTCCGCTTCTTCTCTCCCTGTTCTCCCTCTCTCCTGGCTTCTCTCTCTCTCTTTTCTTTGTCTCTCCCTCTCTCCACGGTCTCTCCATCGCCTTCCTCTCTCGAACTCTCTTCTTCTCCCTCCCTCTCTCCGGCTCACCACTTTTCTCCCTCCTCTCCCCGACCACCTCTTCTGCTCTCTCCCTGTCTCTCTCCCTCTCTTCCTCCTCTGTCTCTCCCGCACTCGCCTGCCTGCACCTTCTTCCCCTATCCCCCCCCTACCCTCACCCTCTGCTCCCCTTTGCTCTATGTCCCGGAACCCGGTGTTGATAGAGCAGAGAACGTTGCGTGAAATCTACTCTGGTTAAGTTCATTCTTTCGGCTGCCGGTCAGCCAGGTTGTGTGTGCGCGTATATAGGGGTGTGTAGGTAGGTATGTGTAGGGTTGTCTGTGTGTAGTGGTGGAACGCTTCTCTGAATAGGTGCGTGTAGGTAGAGGTGCCACGTACGTTGCGTGTGCGTGCGTATTTGCTGTAGTGTAGCGGTTGGGGCGCTGCGCGACGAACCTGCCGACCAGAGTTCGATCCCGCTCACAGCAAACAGCAGTTACGATTATCTGAACCGGTCCTGAGCCTCCCCTAGGTCGACTCGGACTCAAACGAGCACCTGGTGCGGTGTATAAACATCGCCACTCGGGAAACAAAGGCGGCCGGGCGTGGTGCTGGCCACCCACCCCCTCGTGTGCCGTGCCGGCCTTCATAGGTGCTTGCTAAAGGCACTTGCCCCAACAGTCTGTTCAGGCTAGATGGGGCATCTTTGTCTTTGATCAAAGTGCACCTAGCCTGGTACAAGTGCTGTGAAGACATTGCCGTCGGTGGTGTTATTGGCGGCGGCTGTGTTATTGTTGTGCACCAGTGTGGTCCCTGGTGCAGGGAATAAAATGAACCCCCCCCCCCCCACCATATCCCCCCACAATTTCTTACTCATAGCCCGGGCCCCTCCAGCCCCTAGCCCCTGGTGCAATCGCAGCGCCTGCGCACTCGAGAGCGCGCTGCGCCATTGTCCCAAATCCACTTTCCGTGCGAGCGGTGCGGGATCTCATCTCGGGGTCGAAGCGCCCCCCCACCCACTCACCACTCAACAGCCCAAGCATTTGGCGGCGAGCCAACGCTTGTTATGGAAATTGTTCCTTTCCCTTGCAACATCCTGGAAGCAGTGGGCATTATTAATTAATAATAACAATAATAATTAAAGAAACCCACCCCCACCACCACCCCACCCGTGCATCCCTCTGCACGGCTTCTGCTCGAGTCTGGAGCGTGAGAGCGAGCGGGTGCTGATTTATCTTCCTGCTGCTGAGTGGTCTGCATGTGTTAGAGTGACGATTCCCTCCGCGCTGCGTTCGAGCGTCGCCCCGTTGCTGCGTCCGGCAACCCCAGGGGATTTTCGGCGTGCGGGCGTCTATCGCTTTTGTTTCTTGTCGAGAGGGCGATCCGATGACGACGCCCACCACCCCCCTGTCGCTATCCCCCCCCCACCAGCCCCGCAGGGTCCCGCAAAACTCTCCGAGACGGAACGAGTGGCGCTGGCCACGTTGACCGTGAACCCGAGTTCGCTAAGCCTCGTGCTGACCACGCAGCCCCTCGTGTGCCGTGCCCGACTTCATCGGTGCCCGATAACAGCACTTGCCCCAACAGTCTGTCAAGGCTATGATGGGGGATTCTTTATCTTTGCCATCGCACCGTCGTCGTCGTCGTCATAACCGACGTCGACGACGCTGGCACGGCCACCACGATGGCCCCAGCACCACCGACAGTTGCAGCGAATGAATTCCCTCTTGCCGCGAAACTTGACTTCAGCTGGCACATGGGGCAGCCCCCAGTGGGAGGCACATTTGTTGAACAGGGCGATGTGGAGACCCACGTCTCGACTTCGCCCGAGCTGTTTGACACGTTGGTACGGAATAGCCGCAGTGGCACGAAGCCTCGGGCCTACACTGACCCTGGCTATTTGTAAGTCACGGCAATGGTGCTGTGTTGATGAAGAAGTTATACCAGCAGGTCGGGCCACTTGCCTGTAATGTCAATCTGTGGTAATAACGCCTGTTGTCAGGCAGGGTTCATGTGTGTGGGGCGTGTGGGGGGGGGGGGGGATATCTGCACCGGTTCTCGAACCGTCCCTTCACCAACCCACTCTGACCAGTGCGGTGAAGTATGGTCAAACGACCTCGACGACTCACGGCGTGGGAAGGGCTTTAAAAAAAGTATTTGTTGTATTCCACAAGTTGACTGGCGAAGGGGCCGCACGCACTTATGTAACAACAACGGCAACATGGCAACTCCTGACACTTTCACGTGACGCGAGTATTTTAGAGGCCTTCAGTGCACCACTCGAGTCTGAGACACATTCCACAGTACCATGAACACCACCGCTTTTGATAATCCACGAGGTTAACTCGTGCCCTAAAACACCACATCAATTCCCGAGAAAGGTCATCTGGCTGAAACGTCGAGTCCTGAAAGAGCCTGCCAAAGCGGCAGACGACGGCGTCGCGAGTCTGCGCGTGGCCACTAGAGGGGGCCGTCATTGATTAATGTCACTCGTAGAGACAGCGATGAGGGGAGGGGGGGGGCGGCGGGGCTGACGCATCGACGATTAGTCACGATTATTTAGCTCGCGATGTGGTGAATGAAAAGCACAAAACAATTGGGACGATGACATTTGTTTTTTTAAAGCTCTACAAAACAAATGTCAGAATAATTTCCCCCAAAATTGTACAAATAAATTAGATGGATGTGGCTCTCGTGGTAAAGAAGTTGTGACGGTACGTGCTTTTCAATCTCGAAATTAGAATAAATCGCACCTCGGTGTGTTCTTCTCCGCTCGCGATGCAGCTCGGTAGCTTCACCCCGGGAGCAGGGGTTCTCAACCGGGGCTACGAGGCGGCGGGTACGTGAGGCCATTTATAAATGCGCCTTAAGACTGTCACATTCGTGTGTTTAATGTGCTTACATTATTGACGATCATTACTCGTACATTTATTGATGGGAGCCGCGAGAAACAATTCAATAAGGGGGACAGTCTTCCATATAAATGTTGGGAACCACCGCCCTCGACAATCCTCTTGTTCCCTCTACCACGACCAGCACTGACATCGTCGCTACAAGCCAACGCGCAGGATCGCCAGAAGCAGCGAGGATTTGGCGAGGCCCACGCTACGTCCGGCGGTGGATTGAGCATGGCTGACAATGATGATGATGCTGCTAATGATGAACTTTTCCTCTCAAGTAAAAGTTAGCCCTTTGCTCGCGCGTGGCATTGAGCGAACTAAATCCACTCACTTTGCCCCGTGAAACTTGGGCCACAGTGGATCGTGCATTTTCCTTTTTGTAAATGTGCTAAAAATAATAATTCTTATTATAATGATGTGCAGCTCATTGTGAGTCCACTGTGCCATCAGCACCCAGTACGGCTCACCCCCCTCACCCTCCCCCGCCACCCCCACCCTCGCCCCCCCGCTCAGCCTCATCTCCAGAGCTTCCTATTCTGCACACAAGCGTAAAATGTCACAAAAAGGCGACGTTTATTTTGGCCTGCCACTCGGCCGCGCCCGTTGGCTCGGTGCGAGAAGTGTCACTGTGCCGTCGCCACGCATCACGGTCGTGTGAACATCACAGCGGCCCCCACCCCTGCCCGCCCGCAATGCTCACACACAGACACACACACGCGAGTGCGCGCGTGTGTGTGTCTGTGTGTGCAGGTGATTGTCGCTAATAGGACTTGCCCCTGCAGTCTGTGTAGTCTATATGGGGGATCTTTGTCTCTGTGTTTGTATGTGTGTGTGTGCAATGCCAAACTTCATAGGTGCTACTCATGAACAGCACTTTCCCAGACAGTTTGTTAAGGTTATACGGGGGATTTTTGTACTTGTGTGTATACTTGTGTGTGTGTGTATATGAGTACGTTCCGGCCTTCATAGGTGGTGCTCGCTAACAGCACTTCACCCAAAAGTCTGCCAAGGCTATATGGGGGATCTTTGCCTGTGTGTGTGCTTGTACCTTTCCCCTTGAACTTCTGGAGTTTCTTTATTTTACAGGAAATTAGAGCCGAAGAAAACAGAGGTGAAAAAAATCAGTGGACTTTTTGGACAATATGGTTTTAATATAAATGTATGAAATACCAAAGCTAAACACAGAAGGGCAACAGCAACGGCCTACGGTCACTTTAGTCACGTCTGCAAGACATATGTGCCAGGCTAGGTGCACTTTGTGGCCATGTGCTGTATCGAATAATTGCTGTTATGGGGCACAGCGTGATGGGTTTAACAAACGTGCTGTGATTGGCAGATGGATCAACCGAATTCCCCACGGGCTGCATGTCCGTAACAAGAACAACAACAACCTTCGTTTACCACTTAGTGGTGGTGACGTCGCCGCGGCGCTTGTACCAGGCTAGGTGCACCTCGAGGCCACGTGAAGTGTGGAATGCTCGCCGCTGGCAGGAGGTCACGGGATAGAGCCAGGTCCCGAAGGTTGACTGACTGAGATGACTGACAGTGGCGCCGCCTGTGCCCACCACTGTGCCACACACACTCGCATACAAAGACAAAGATCCCCCCCTCGCACATATAGCCTTGTAGACTGTTGGGGCAAGTGCTATAAGCGAGCACCTCTCAGGCACGCACTCGTTACTCGCGTACGTACGCGTACGCAACGACAGAGCTGCCCGTGCAGCCTCTCAGTCTGCGCACGTACACCGACGCTCCTGCGCTCCACTCACGTGAAGACGAAGCTCTCCCACATCGACGAGGAGACCCGAGCATGGCCAGCACGGCTGGTGTGGCCGTGACCAGCACCACACCCGGCCGCCACTGTCTCCCCAGCGGCCTCCGCTCTTCACAAACTCAACAGCGGCCTGACGCAAACGGGCACCCTGAACATAAAAGCAGCGACGCACACTCATCAAAACGTCATAACCCTGAACGGATACAACAACAACAAAAAACTATTTCTAACGTGCTCCTCCGTCTGCCCCCTCCCCACTGCTGTCGCCCCTCCACCCGGTGACCTCGCAGGCGTTTGAACCGGAATCGGCTTCAGGTTCTGCCGGAGCTGCTCTTCCTGGGCATGGACAAGCTCAACCGACTGTGAGTCACGCGGCTGTCCGGGCACCTTCTTTCGCGTCCGGTCGTGACCTCCTCCTCCTCCTCCTCAATGCTCGTTGGTCGGAGGAAATTCCTCCCGTCCCTTCCCTCCTGCCACCCACGCCCCCCGCCCCCCTCTCGTGCTCGTTCACGCGTCGTTCGTTGTGACGTCGATCGTTCACGCCGTTCGAATCGCCCTCGTGACCCGCGGTGCGGACACCGCACCTCGGCGAGCGCTTGTGCGTACGTACGTCATTTACGGACCCGGTGAGGTCCGCAGAACGCGGCGGGTGGTGCGCGATTGGGATGGGGACCTGCGGCGTTGTGCAGGCGAGACGCGGACTTCCCGTCGTGCCGGGAGGCCCCGTCGCACACCACAGTTCCCACGCTTCCTCGGTTCCCAGCAGCAGAAGCAACAGATGCAGCAGCAGCAGCAGGTGTGGTCTCGACTCTGTCTTGAGGCAGAGCCGTTCGTGTGATAAGATAATGAGCGAGTCACTCTTTGTGCAGCCGAGTTTAAAAAAACAAAAACATATTTTTTCTGTGCCCGCCCGTCCGTCTTTGATAAACACACGCAGAAAAATAGGCGAACTTGAGAAAGTCAATATTTGTGCTCCTGCCGTCATGTTCCCCAGATGCGCGTCTGCATGATGATCGTGATCTCAGGCAGGCTAAAGGACATTACATTCTCTCCTGTCGCTCTGCCCGGCGGGTGATGCTGATGCTGCCCTCATCCTGTGCTCACTGGCTTGTGCCCTCTCTCACCATTGTTTGCTCTTTCGTTGCTCCTGCTATGACCGTCGTTTTCGTGAACTCTTACGCGTGTATGTTGAACTTGTTACGTAGCCAACTTCGCACCTTGCTGCCTCCACCAGCGTCGAGAATTGAGACTGCTCCGTTTCCGCTCTCATCCACGCCACGCACGCAGGTCTAAACGTTCCTCTTCTCTGGAGCTTCTTCTCATCGTCTCTATCCCTCAAGGAATGTGTGTGCCTCCTATCTGCTGCACCATCATCAGTGCCCTCTCTCGCCGGCTTCATCTATTTTCGCCTCCTGTCCAGTCAAGAGGGCACCAACGTTGCGGGCCGATTGGCATTCTAGGGCTACAATAAACTCAAAGGAATTCCATAACCTTTGGAGCATTTGTGTAGAAACACAAACAAATATCCTCAGCACATCGCTCTCCTGCTTGCTCCTTGGCACTGGGACGCTCGGGCGGAAGGGGGTGGTGGGGCGGAGTGGAGCGACGACGACCCTGGGAGCAAGGCGAGGCCTCCTGTGCCGCGTCGGTCGTTATCTGGGCGCTCGCTTGCCTTGCGTCTCAACTCCAAGTTACTCCGCGTGGCCGGTGGCGGGGGGCGGCGCTCGCTCCGCGGCCCCCTTCCCGCGGCGTCGCGGCCACGCAGGCGCACCCTGCGAGCGAACCGTGCGCCTGAATGTTTGCTACCGGCGGTGGGGGCGGTGGCACCTCCGGTTGGCACGGTTGGCTACGTACAGTGCGAACGAAGTCCGACGTGATATATTTTTTCTTGGGTTAGATCGCGAAAATATAAAAATGTGCTGTTAAACCCGCCGCCACCAACCGACACAGCCAACTAGTAAGGGTTGTCATGTAAACAGAACGTGGCCAATTAGTCACGAGTACAGCACACCGGTGTGTTGGAGAGCCAAGCCACAACATTTACAATCTGAGTACGACGTTCTACGTACATACACAGGTCGCTGACCCCACGGGTGGGCGTCTGTCGCATCCCTTGCCCCCCCCCCCCCCCCAGCACACCTTTCGGCGCTTTCATTTCATTTCGAACGCCCACGTGGACCTTCACCAGCGATGTTTGTCCCGTAACATGAAGGAGGGATTCCGCAGAGTCGCACCGTCGGGTGCCGTGCTGAGGGGCGGATGGAGCGAGGTCAGACGCCGGCCGTGGCGCTGGCAGAGGTGGGGGAGGTGGGGTTTGGGATGGAAATTGGCAAGCGGGATTGGCTCATCGTCTCTCTCATCGTCTCGCTCTCTCTCTCTCTGGCCTCGTGCTCTTTGCAACCCCGGCTCGATTCAGAATCTCTATTTGTCCTGGAGCAGGAGGACTACGATACCCGGTGCGTGATGCGTACGAACATCGCCACTGGGGAAACAAAGGTGGCCGGGCGTGGCGCTGGCCAACCGGCCCCCTCGTGTCGCCGTGCGCCGGCCTTCGTAGCTGCTGCTACTCAGCTCGCAGCACTTGCCCCTTACGGTCTGTTGAAGGCTATACGGGGGATCTTTGTCTTTGATGTTTGCAGTGAATCCCCTCGGGGGAGTGTTTGTGTTTTTCGTGACTGTGAGCACACGAGCCACAGAGGGCACCATTTTGCCACTGACCTTTGAGATAAATTTGACATTTTTGGGATTTTACCCGGAAGACCAAACTCCGTTAGTTAAAAAAAATATTATAATAATAACGGCTCAGAAATTTCCTTCCTCGGTTGATTTCGCTTATAAGACCACATGCTGTATATGAGTTGCTTTTTAATTATAAATAGTATACATAAATTATCATTGTTTGCCTCCCTCACAGGCGATGTTTTATACATCGCACCAGGTGCTCATTTGAGGCTGAGTCGACCTAGTGGAGGCCACGGACCAGTTTCAGGTAGTCGACACCAGCGCCGGCCGTGAGCGGGAATCGAACTCGCGTTGCTGGGTTTGTAGCACAGCGTAGAGCGATCCGCTGCACGCACAGAGACACAAACACACACACAGAGACACAAACACACACACAGAGACACAAACACACACACATTCGCATGTGACAAGGAGTAAGGCATAGTACACATCCCAGCCTTTTAAAGTACAGCACTCAACAATATATATATTTTTTAAATTAACTCTTCACCTGTGGAGGTTGTTTCATCTTTATTCTTCATAATAAATATTTTTACTACGATGCAGTGTCTATGCCATTAGACGCCACTGCTGCTGCTGCGTGTGGAGAGAGGGTGGGGGTTGAGAGTGCGGCCCCCCCCCTACCGCCCCCCCTCCCCCACCGCCCCCCCCCTCCCCCCCCCTTCCTCGCTCAACACACGCATGCCACATGTGGTCCCGTCAAGTGGTCCGTGCATTGGCGGCTCGTAAACAAATATTCTTTGGTGGCTGAAATCATCATCATCATGAGCAGCAGCAGCAGCAGCCACGCTCGATCCACTGCTGGATGAAGGCCTCCCCAAACTGCCCGCTGCCCCTCGCGATCCTGCGATGTAACGATGCGCCCAGCGCGCCCGTGCAACGCGTCCCCGAGCATTTCTACCGAGGAGGTGCAGAGTCCATCAGCTGTGTTGAAAGGGGCGCCACGTGTTGAACCCACGTCGTTGTGTTGATCAAGCCGGGAGGTAGCGGCAGAGGACGAGGGAGCCATCGCCCCTTTCCCTAGGCAGGGGGTCGCGAATTCGGGGTCGCTCATTCTCCTCTGCTGCCCCCACAGTCTGGAACTCACTTCCCACCTGCCATCCGTGCTGTCGACTGCCTGTCCCGATTCAAGTCCCCGCTCAAGATCTTCCTTTTGCTCTTTGCCTGACTTCTTCTGTCCCCCATAGGTTCACACAGAGACTAATATACTCAAATAGGGGACCCATACTCACACAGAGACTAATATACTCAAATAGGGGACCCATACTCACACAGAGACTAATATACTCAAATAGGGAACCCATAGACTCACACAAGGGACCCTTCCAGCGATGTGTCCTGCCCAAGGCCACTCGCGAGCACATTTTCTCTCGCTGAATACATTTTCTGTGGGCAACAACACGCGGGTTCGCCCCCGCATCGCCAAAACAAAGGAGCCGAGCCGATGCCTAATGCATCGCGCTCGCCGCTCGCCACTGAGTGCACTTCTCATCGAGCCGTCCCCTCTGATGTTGTAGCCTCGGCTGGGCGCGGGATTTGCATTTTAAAGCGACGCGGTGAAGTGCGGCTGGGGGAGGGGGCTCTCCATGCACGCGCACGTTGCCAAAACGCGCGGAGGCGATCGCCAAAACCGTTAAAGCGAAATGCAGAAATGAAAGCTTCTCGGCGGCGGCGAGTCGTCTCGGCGCGCTTCCACGCCCCTCCCGCTCCCCTGCCTCTCTCCCAGGCTAGTGCGCTACTTCTGCGACTTGGTGGTTTATGAATGAGCGTTTCTTGAAGTTTCAATTTCATAATTTACCGGTGCGTGCGGCTGGGGATCGTCGCGCGACTGTCCAGAGATGGCGACGGCTTGAGGGAGGCATTCATCCAGCAGTGGATCGAGCGTGGCTGCTGCCGCTGCTCGCAAATTTGTATCTTTTCATCTGCGTGGACTTCCGCAAGCCGCAATTGTTACGCTTTAACTCTCCTCGTCGCCTCGTGTTGTTCGGTTCTGCTGTGCAAATCCCCAAAAGTCAAGGGGTGTTAGTGTCATCTTTCCTGTGACCTTGAAGGCCGACCAGAGTGCTTAGCGTCACAAACGCTGCCAGTTACTTGAAGCGCAGCCGTCCGTGCCCACCTCCTCGCCTCCATGGGCACAAGCCTCGGTGTCTTTGAACGCTCTCGTGGCGAGCAAGAGCGCTCGGGGCACAGTACGAGCGATGGGAGGCAGCGCATCTCTTGATGGGTTGGCGCTTCCAATTGGCACGGTTGGCGACGTAGGGTGCGAAAGAAGTTCAACATGCATACGAATTCAGCGAGGTTGTAAGCCACTTGGGGAAAGAGGCGACGGGAGGGAGTCGAGCCTGGTATACAGGAGGTCGTAGGTTCGATCCTGACCCTGATTCCTGTTGTGTATTTGAAGTTTTCATGTCTCTCTCTCCCCTGGTCATGTAGATTTTTTTCTCGTTTCTCTGTTTTTTTCCCCACACATTGAGAATCAACGTGCGTTTAGAGTATGCGGCTGCTATCAATTTCTACACGATGATAAGCAACTTCGTTGAACTATCGTTCGTGATTGCCAAGTCGCTTCTGAAAATAACTATATTGCTTGGTGGGCCTTACCTGGAAAAATAAAAAATTG